TATCTTGTTTGGATTTTTTTTCTGTAGTCTATCTTATAAGTAGCTACTACTTTTTAATTAAAATATTACTGCCGCCGTGCCGTTAAAAAAAAGGTAGAATAAACTTGTCAAATTGATAAAGACAATATTACCAATATATAAGTGACTACTAGAATATACAAGTCGCTCAGTTCAAAGAAGATTTTAGTGACAATTTGAAAGTTATAAATACACATAAAGGTAACTGTTAAAATTCATTACTCAAATGTTTCAAATTATTACATTCTACAAGGTTTTAGTAATTTAATTAGAAGCATTTAATAAATATTTAAGAAGACTATGGACAAAAACTTTCACTTCTCAAATAATAGTGTCGTAGCAAAATGGACAGAGTGAGTAGATATGACAAATGAAGGAAAAAAAATCTATTTTCACGTGACTCGTTTAGATTTTAGACTTCAGTACGTAAAACGTAATATAAAGATCCAACATAAATAATAAAAATAAAAATAGAAACAACAGCCAAAAATTTATACGGTATGTTCCCTAATGGGACTGGTCTTGGTGGAATGTCTTAATTTTTATTTGAATATCATAGTTCTTTAATCTTTAAAGCTAGAAATATTCTTGTTTGATAATGAAAAGTAGAAGGTTAATTATTCATTATTGTTAAAATCGTCTAAATGTTAGTAATGTATGCCTAAATTTTTATTTCAAATACCATTTTGGTAATTTACTATAAAAAGCTCAAAACAACATTGTTGGAACTTAGAAAGTGTTGAAGAAAACAAACATATCTTTTTAATTTGGTTTTATTCGGCTAAATTAGTGATTGAAGATTGTTTTCGTTGGTATTTGAAATCTTTATTTCAAATTGAGATTATTCAATTTGGAGCAGATTTGGGTTAATTGAAAATGAAGTTTGCAAAATTGAAAAATACTTTGTTAAAACAACATAAAAAGTTATGCCAATCGGTAGACTTCGATGAAAACTTAACAGATAGATAGTGAAAATATAACATATACTCTAGCAATTCCATAGAGAAACCCCTGAAGAGCAATATCATGCCAACCTGGTAGACTTCATGAACAACTTAACAGATAGGTAAAGTAAATGTAGCATAAACTCTATCAATCTGTTAGAGAAACACTGAAGAGAAAAACGTGCATACGGGTCGGGGACCGTTTCTTAATACCGCCAATTTTGAAGACATTCGTCTAAGACGAGAAGTTTTATTTTGTATCTCATACAACTGACACTAGTTGTATGAGGCTTCTTTTTGTCTCACAAAATTGTGGACCGTAATCTTACACTGCTGGGTCCACAGAATTCTGGGTCCACAAAACTATGAGATAAAAAGTTACCTCATACAACTAGTGTAAATTATATGAGACACAAAATAAAATTTTCCGTCGAAGACTGTCCCCTTTGCAGGGCCATTCCTGTCAATCACCCAACATCAGCGTCTAACTCAAAATTTGGGCCATGATGCTTAGTGGGCCAAGTATACTAACCTTAAATTGGATCCAACATAGATCCAAGCAAATTCTTGTTAGGAAAGACCGAAAGAAAAAGCAAAGATGTTCACCTTAAAATTTCTAACATGGTCGATTCTAGATAGAGCACGGTAACTCCCCTGGAAAGACAGAATTACTTTCTGCCGGTCCTTCTATTATCTCCTTCACGCTAGAACCGACAAGAGGGTTGTGGTGGGATGATAAGTACTCCTTTATTTTTAACAAGAAGTTTCGGGTTCGAGTTCCTAAGTATGAAGTCGCTTTGTTAGGGAGCGCTTTACCCCCAATGTGGGACTTCCCAGCGTAAATCCGGATTTAATCGGACACCAATGTAAATACCGAATACCGGATGAAAAACCAAAAAAATGTCTAAACAGATGAAAATGCTTCTTATTAATTTAAAGAATTAATATGCTCTCAAGTTGTTCATGGGGGGGGGGGGGGGTCGAATTGACCTCTCTTAACAATATCAATAATTCTTATTTCTAATGTTTGAGAATAAAACTATAATAACCAAAAAGGATATAGTAACATTTATGAAAGTTAAAATTAGATTATCAAATCCAAGAAAATAAATACAAAATCAGCTTGACAAATACTTTCTCCGGTCTACAATAAGTGATTTTTGGCCTTTTTTTTTGTGGTACAAAATACGTGATTTTTCTAGATTTCAAGAATGAATTAATTATTTTTTTCCCTACATTTTGGAGTAAATAATGTTGGAGTATGTGTTAGGAATATTTATGTGAAAAGATAGTAAAAGTTAATATTGTCGGTTTCATTGCTAATTAACGTTAAAATATAAATTTCTTAATATATGTGAAAATAACTAAAAAAATCATTTATTTTAGACCGGAGGAAGTATGAAAAATTTAAATTTGACTCAAAAATTTAAGAGCTAAAGGGCGGAGTTCCCAAAACTAACAAACTGCAAAAGAATACAAACTATGGATTGAAACGCACTAAATTTCAGTGAAAATTGTTGGCAAGTGTCAATATGATATTAATTATTATGGACGTGTCTTCAATTTCTCCATTATTGCCTTCTTCTTTTACTTTACTCTTCTGATATCTTTTTCTGCTTGTGAAAAATAATTGATGAAATTTTTTGATATCTAGAAACCTTCAATTCAGAGAAGATTTTATTGAAAATATTTCTGCAAAGGAAGATATTGGATCTCAATTTTCGTCTTAAAGTATGTTGATTCCCTCCCTTCTTTATTTTCTAAGTTTTCCACTTGTTCCAATTTAAAAGTTTTTGAAGGTTATCGAATTTAAAATAAAGTTTGAAATATCATGTTTTTTAACTTCGGTTATTTTATTTTTCTTGTTGTTGGTACTGCTTCTAGACTTTCCCACTATCGTTTTGCCTCTTAATGATTATTGGAGTTATGCTTTTCTTGAGCCGAGGGTCTATCGAAAACAGTCTTTTTTATCTTACAAAAGTAGGAATAAGATGTACGTATACGCTATCTTCCTCATATCTCACTTGTGTATTTCAGTGAATATGTTGTTATAATTGTTCTCTTGTAATTAAATTTAAAACAAGTAATCCAAAAAATGAAAAGTGTCGGGCTTTTTAAGTGGGAATGGAACTCAATCTTATAGCAAGAAAAGACCGCAAGACGATGTGGTTAGGGAAAATGACATTGTATAGTTACTCTCAAAATAATAATATTTCGACTGCGAGTTAAAAATGATTTCTGCCCCATATAAAACACTTAAAAGAAGAAAATGAAAGATAAAAATAAAACCAAAAAATAGAGAAAAGGAAAAAAAAAAAATAACGAAAAGACATAAAGGCGAACTTACCCCTATGCCCTTTTATGTTTCTAGTGGAATAGTTTATCCAAAAAAAAATAAAAAAAATTCTTTTTTTTTCGGAAATTCTTTTTTAAAATGTGTTTGTCCATAAAATTTTGCAACTTTTTGAATTTTTTAAAAATGAGTTTTTCAAAAACCAACAAATGATTCTGACCACTTTTTCAAATTGTCGGAAAAACTTTTTTCTCCACTCATAAAACTCAGGGGCGAAGCCACATGCTTGAAAGGGTGCTCAACTGACCACCCTTCGTCGGAAAATTATACTGAGTATATAGGTAAAATATTAGGTTTTATAGATATATACATATATTGAATACTCTTTGTCGGAATTTTTTTTCATTTGAACACCCTTGAAAAAGTTTCTGGCATCGCCACTGATAAAACTACAATAAGTTTTCAGGTGAAATGCAAGTCTAAACGTAATTTTAAATTTCAAATATTATTTTTCAACTTAATTCCAAATACTTTTTTTTTAATTATAATCTTTATGTCCAAACGTCTACTAAGACTAACTCTTTTATTATTTGCAGAGATTTGACGAAGTTGTAGGTAAAGAATGGAAGTATCTGAGAATAACAGTGTTGACTATTGTAAAATCAATTTAGAAGCAGAACCTTCAAAATACCATTCAATTTCTTCATCAAGTAGGCAAAATACTTCTGCATTTTCACTAACCTTAGATGAATTTCAAAGCAAGAAGAGAAGAAATTATGGGTCTATGAATTTAGATGACCTACTCAATAATTTTTGGGACAATGAAGGAAATCAAGTTACTCCCAATTCAAATCAAGATATCCCAACAAAAGAAGGTAACATATATTTGTAACCTTTTCACTTTACCCTTGCTTTTTTATTTCCTTGGTGTTCGGCCTGCTCGCGTGCACCTTAACTAATTTCATGGAATATTTTTCACGTTTCATCAACACATCTATTAGGTAATTCTGTCCATCAAAGTTTAGACAAATGAGAAGAATTACCTAATAATATTTTTATTCCATTGATATTTAAACGTGACACCTCATGATTTGAGATCCACTTTATTGACCTCTGAGTCACATTTCCAATTTTTTTTAAAACTTTTCATCCCTATTTTAATCCCCACTTTAGAAGCATTTTTTTCATAAGAATGATACATTTACTATTTAAAAAGTCAAATGTTGTTGTTTTAGTGCAATTTTTTAAAACACTTTAATTTATTTATTTTGCGGCATGAATTCGGATTGATCGAGGTTCCAATATGGATATTTTATTAGGATTTTGCCCTAAATTTTAATCTATTAGGACTCTCTTTCTTGTAGGAAGGGAAAAAGACTACTAAAAGAAATAAATCTCTTATTAGGGTATTTTTTTTTAATTAATATTAGTTTTTTAATCTCCTTTCTTATAAATATAGGTCAATTAACACTTTAAATGATAGTCACTTTTGATATATTTTTTTATTCCTAATTTATCGTTACCAAAGTTTTCTTTATTAGCTTCCGTATGGACCATATTATTTCGATCCTACATATCAGACACCGAATAGAAAACAAAAAAAATTCAAAAATTCCATGAAAACATTTGACCCGCGCAGGACAACATTCAAGGTATGATTTCCTCAGCCACTCAAAGTGTGCTGAAAATGGCAAAGGAGATGCTGATTCTTCTTCAACACATCATCAAATCTTTGAACAAGTTAATGGTGGTTTCATTAATGGACACCAGAATTCTGATCAAATCACTACAACAAATAAAGAAAATATTGAAAATTCCAACAGTGCATCAGATGTTAGTGAACCAATTAACAATAGCAGAAGAAGATCATCAAGTGTTTCAATAGAAGCAACAGTAATGGAGAAGAGACAACGTCGAATGATTAAGAACAGAGAGTCTGCTGCACGATCTAGAGCTAGAAAGCAGGTAACAACTTTTTCATCTTAATTTTGAGCCCGTTTGGCTTAGCTGATTTAGAGTAGCTGATAAGCATAAGGTGCTGAAAAACACTTTTAAGTGCTGAAGCTGATTTAAAAAATAAGCAGTTACGTGTTTGAATAAAAGTGCTGAAATTAATAATAAGTAGCTGAAGAATTGGGTATACGAAAAGTTTTGTTTTAAAAAGAAGTATTTTAGGGATAGAATAGTAAATATTTTGGTCAAACCTAAAGTGCTTATAAGCTGAAATTTAATAAGTTAGGGGGAGACCAACTTATGACTTTTGGCTTATTTTTGGCTTATAAGCACTTTTAATTTGCGTAGATAAACCAAAAAATGCTTATAAGCCAGTTTGACCAGCTTATAAGCTAAGCCAAACACTCTCTTTGTCTCAAATTATTCACTCGAAAATGACGGGAGCGCCTAGCTCCCGGAGCAAAGCTCATTTTCCTTTCAGAGTAAAACGGCACATAAATAAGGGTTGAACCATCAAAAGTCAAGAGATTATTTTTAAAAATAATAATTGATCAGCACTGTTTGTGATTAAAGCATATAGTTGATTGATAGTCGATTGAAATGATATTTTGTACCGTCAAAGTTTTAGAGAATGCTACAGGTTTTTTCAGTTATCCTTCCGTCCCAATTTATGTGGCGGAGTCTGGATTTTGAGAATCAAACGAAATTTTTGTTTGACCGTAATTTTTTCTCTTTTTAATGTTTTGAATCGTTAGTTAATTAATGTGATTTATAGTACTTTTTATGTAGTTTTCAAATATACAAATTTTGTTTCAAAAATTTAAAGATTCTATGTCCAAATTCACAATCTATGCACAAGTCTGAATCTTATTGATAAGTGAAAGCACGTGAAAGTTCTTTTTTAATGAAGGGTGACAATGAGATTTAAAGTCAGGATTTTTATTTTATTATAATATTATGTTGCATTATGTGATCATGCGATTAGCGGCGAAGTCAGAATTTTCATCAAGAGGTGTCAAAATATAAATAATTAGATACATCGAAAAATCAAGGGGAATCAACATATAGTAAATATATATAAAATAAAACAAAAAAACTAACAATATAGTGTAATTTTCCGGCGAAGGAGTATCGCTTGACACCCCTTGGTTCAATGTGGCTCCGCCACTGCATGCGATGAGTGGAGGTAATTTTTAAATCTCTTTGAAATCCTTAAACAATCCACGAGAATAAAAACAGTATTCTGTAACACAAATATGAAAAAGAAGAGTCCAATTTAGGATAATAAGAATATTATACAACAGTAATAAGAGTTTAAATTTTTCGATAAATGGTGAAGAAACCCAACCAAGGTTGGATTCATGGTATTACTTACAATAATAGTAAAAACCATAGTATAATGATCTTGTTTTATTTTTTTTTCAATTTGTTGGTCTCTTATTACATTTAAACTTGGACTTTATTAAGTCCTTCCTAATTCGTTTTTGCTAATAAGTCCCTCCTAATTCAATAATATGATAGTTTTGACTTTTGATTGGTTGATGAAGTAAACTTTGGTATGATGCAGGCATATACAGCAGAATTGGAAATAGAACTCAATCGACTGAGAGAAGAGAATGAAAAACTCAAGTTACTTGTGGTAAGGTGAAAGATGAAAATATTATTAAGTTATATCATCATTAGTGTAAGTAATTTTATATGCTATCAGGTCACTAAAGAATATTTTTACAGGTAAATTTTCTTAAAATTTATGACTTATAATATTGAAAATAAGATAAATTACTTTGTTAAAACAGATAAAGGTGACCCCATGATATAAAAATCCTTACATCAGTGGCGAAATCAGGAATTTCTTTCAGGGTGTTCAAACTTGAAAGAAATAAAAAAAATTCCAATAAAGGGTATTCAATATATATTATATATCTCTAAAACCTAATATTTTATTTATATATACAATGTAATTTTACGACGAAGGGTGGTCAATATATATTATATATATCTAAAACCTAATATTTTACCTATATATATATATATTGTAATTTTATGATGAAGGGTGGTCAATTGACCACCCTTACATGAGTATAACTTCGCTCTTGCCTTACACTGACGATGTATATATCTTAAACTCTTAACCAAAAAAGAAAAAGATAAAAACCACATGGATGTAAATTGGTATGGGTGTAATTATTAAATACACATATAGCACCTTTAATAATTATCACTTACTCTTTTTCTTTTTCTTTTTTACATGGCCAAGGCTCAAGTTGCAACCAGAAGAAAAGATGAGGTATGACTATTTCCTTTATAAATATATTTGTAAAGAAATATGTTTTAAGATTAGTTGTAATTTAAATCCAGTTATTTATTTGTTTGTTTATAGCTATCTTGTAATTTATTCATATGTCTTTGTGATGTATTAGGAGGAGAAAATGAAACAACCAACAAAAGCTCAATGGATTGCTAACAAACTGAGAAGACTTAGAAGAATGTCAAGTGTCTCATGGTGAATTAGCATAATTGTTTACAAGGATTGTAATGTTATTAACAATGTCTTTTTGACACAATTATTAGTCTTCTGTGTGCATGTAAGTTATTGCTTACATTTGGATTTACAAAATAAAGAAACAATTTATGTAGGTAGTTTTGATTGGGGAAAGCAAGTGTCACGACCCAATTTAGGATCATGACCGGCGCTTAGGAGCAAGTGTCCCTAAATAAGCTTTATCGGTATTTTGCAGAAAATCGGACAGAGTTTTCCCTATTTTAGAACTATCCAAAAGTTTACCCTGTCTCAAAAATCAGTAACAAAACCAACCTATATCGACCAAATATCTCATAATTTTCATCAACTAATCAAACAGCTATTCACCACTATTAATCAATCACTTGCAACACGGTAATCTTAACTTCATCTCCAAAATACTATGAGAGAATCTAATACTAGTCATGGGTCTAATAATGAACAAATACTCATGACACTAATAAAATGAATATGGAGCGACTCTAAGAGTTCAAAAGGAGAGAAATAAACTCTTCGCCCACGTGAACAAATGCGGGGCTCACCAGGAACTATCAACTCGTGTACTCTAATTAACGAAATCCTTGCTCGCGTTAACTGTTGTTTCTATAAAAAATAATAGCGGGGAGTGAGTCGCTAACTCAGTGAATAATAACACTTAACCACAACCGTTTTTAATTGGGGACAAGTCAGAAAACATGCTTGTATAATAATCACTTAATAAAATGCCCTTTTTTTAAAACGGTAATAATAATCAATCTCATCATGTGTTTCCTATAACAAAATCAATTTAACAATTCATTAATAAACTCAGTAAATATTGTGTCATAGCAAATCTTTATATTTGGGAGGTTTCAGAAAAGGATCATGTAATCTGTATTACTGTGTGGACCCCTTCGTAAAAAGAGTCAAATATAACTGCAGGTCCCTACTCGAGGGAAAACTGTAACTGTGTGCTAGTTCTACCTTCCCACTAGTGAGGGCTATAACTGTTCTCGGTAATCGGTAAATACAAGGTGCACCAGGTCTAACGAATTCGCCATTAGCTACGGGATCCTTCAAAGTCTCCTCCCATCTATACTTGTCTTTGTAATCAGTAAATACTCGTAGGAAAGCATTTTCAAAATAGTACAGGGCATTTCAATTCTTGTCAAATCATGTAATCCCATTTCGGTAATAGTAATCATATTTCAAATAGCAGTAAAAACATGTCTAGTAACAGTGAGAATATTTTAAATAACTATAGATCTCTCAAGTAAACTGTTCGGTACCATATCAAGTAAAGGACTTGTCCCACATGCAAATTTCAAATATTCGGTAACACCTTTTATTTTCAAAATAATGTATAAACCATGCAGGTTATGAAAATACAAATTACGGTAAGATTACTACTCACAGTACTCGTGTCGAAATACCAAGCGTGTCACCTCGAGCAGTCCATAAGACTCATTCAACTACCTATATTATCACAAAATCGGTCTATATATCAGCTTCGTGAACAATTAACATAACTAGTCTTATCATGACATTCCCTCCTTTTTTTTCCTCAGAAATATAGCTACTGATTCTCTGTTAATCAATTTAGTAGTACCTAAATCAATAGGAACTACAATTTTCTAATTATTCTTATTTATTTATTTATTTATTTATTTATTTTGAATTGATACCATGCTACTTCTATATACAGAGACAAGGTAAAAAGAACTGATTTAAAAGGATTGTATTCATGTTCTTACGTTGTGCTTTATAAGCACTAGTGGTTCTTCATTAGGCTAGATTATTTGTTATGAAATTAATAAAATACTTATTCATCTAATTCAAAATTCATATTTGTGCTAAATCAAAAGTAACTTATCTTTTCTTGTTTCTAATTAACGAAACAACCGTTAAATGGGCTAGGTTGAGTAAATTTTTACTTACCTTGTTCTTCCCCACTTTATAAATTTCTTCAACGAGAATAGATAGAACCTTCTTGTCTTTTTCCTTCTACTGTGTTGAATAGCTTCTGCCGAAGCTTGATATGCTTCAATACCTAACCCTTCCTTTTGTTTATCTTGATTCCATGAGTTTTCCCTTCCCTTAATCCCTTTTAATTTGATTAGAATTTCACCCAAATCTCCTTTCTCTATTTGTTTACTGCGTACCCTTTCCTTCAGCCCTTTTTTTCTTTTTTTTCATCTTTGGCCAGATTAAAATCTGGTGGGTTTCGGCCCTTCTTGTGCATTTCACTTTTTTTTAGTTTATTAAATGACTACTATATCCTTGTTTAAAATTATGGGATATTAAATTCTCCCCACCTTATAAAATTTGGTCCCTGAATTTAACTCAAGTACGCACCTGTAGACTGAAATAAATGAGAATATTTGACGCGCATATCATCTTCTACTTCCCAAGTAGTTCTTCAATGGTATGATTTCTTCATAAGACTTTAACAACACAATTTCTTTTGATCGTAACTTTCTTATTTATCTGTCAGCAGTAGCGATTGACTCTTCGTCATAAGTTAACTTCTCATCATATAGTATAATTGGTGCTTCATGCACATGGGAGGAGTCTAATATACTTTTTTTTATATAGAATAAAGATATGAAATACTAGATAATAAAAGCAATAACTCAGAACTAAACGGTAAGCGACGACTCCCATCACTTCAAGTATCTCTTATAATCTTATGTACCTTGGATTCATCTTTTCTCTTTTTCCAAATTGCACCACGCTTTTTATAAGAGACTCGTATGATCACCCGATCACTAACTGTAAATTTTAAGTTTAATTTTTTCGTCTGTACAAGAGTTTTGTCTGCTTTGTGATGTAAGTAATATCTGTCTGATTGACTGGATCTTATCAAAAGCTTCTTATACTACTAAGTTTGAACCTAACACTTTAGCCTCATTTGTTTTTAATCATCTAATAAGGGAGCGACATCGTCATATAGTTTCATCCAATGCCATCTTAATACTCTAACTGAAGCTATCATTGTAGGTAAATTTAGCTTAACGTTTGGAATCATCTCAACTACCTCCAAGAGAAAATATTCAAGCTCTCAACATGTCCTCCTAGATTTGTATAGTAATTTCAGACTATATATTTGTCTGTGGATGAAATGCAGTACAAGGATCTACTCGTGTACTCAATAATTCTTGAAAAGATTTTCAAAAGCGTGAAGTAAATTGTGATCCTCTTTCAGAAATAATGGACAATAAAATCTTATGAAGTCGGACAATTTTCCAATCTATGTATATTTGTGCATATATCACTTTACTATAAAAGTATTGACAAATAAGAAGTATGCTTACTATAAAAGCCTATTTAAATTTCCAACATATAATCATAACTTCTTATTGTTTAAAGTAGTTATGTCATAAAATTCACTATAATTATATTCCATCTTCACTTAGAAATCTCGAATTGTTATAGTGGTCCTGCAAATCATAAATGCTTACCTTGACATGCTAACAAGTCAAATAGTCATAAACAAGTTAAAGAAATCGTTCTTCTTTCTTTTCTCACAATTATAATTTTCTTCTACCCATGGTACAGCAAATGTACAGTGTATCTAGAGTTGTAAGCTCCTCAAGAATAACTCGTCTTAACCTATCTATATCTGGTACACATAAGCGGTTACCTAATTGAAGAATATCAATAGTCATATCCTTGTTTTTATTAGCTAAGACCTCATCTCGATATTTACATAATCACTCATCTCCATACCTTTGGTATAGGTTCAAATACTATTCGACGCAATTTATTTTCATATATAATTTTTTTTATTCAGATTTCGATAGCAAGAAAGACTGTCTGAATATTTGATTCCAAGACACTTGATTCTTTTTTTTTTTTTTTAAATAAGATTAAGACAAAAGTGATCAATATTTCTTTATGCTCGTTCCTGAAGTATAAAACAGTCCATATTGAGTGGCCTTTATGTGCTCTACCAGTGAAAACTTGGCTTTAACACAAGCCAGTATTATCTCTATATTCTCCATACTAAATTGGATACATGTACCCTTTTTAGCCTCTGTATATTTTTAGTCAAAGGTCCTTTTGGCAGAACTATATGTGTCAAGTTGCCCATAGATCTTTTGATCAATGCATCAGCCACCATATTGATCTTTCCATAATGATACCAAATAGAAACATCATAGTCATTGGGTAGTTTCATCTACCAAAATGCCGAAGATTTAGATGCGTGTGCTAAAAAATATATTTTAAGCTCTTGTGGTCAATATAAATCTCATAAGTTTCGTAGTATAAGTAATTCCATCAAAGCCAAAATCACTGCAACCAACTCCAAATCATGAGCAAGATAGTTTAGCCCGTGTTTCTTGGACTATCCCAAAGCATAAGCTATAACACGATCATACGCGTTAGAAGCGAGAACATATTCTAATCCACCCTCACAGCATCACTGAATATTATGAGTCTCCCGAACCTGATGGTAAGGTTACTGCTAGTGTAGTTGCGAAACATATTTTGAGTTTCTGAAGGCTCTGCTCACATTCCTCTATCCAATAGTTTTTTTTGTGGTATTAGTTAGGTTAGTGGCGCTGCTATTTTGAAGAAATCATGTACAAAATGCATGTAGTAGCCTACTAAACCAAGTAGTTGCATATCTCTATAGGAATAGTTGATCTTTGCCATTTTTGAATTGTTTATATCTTCTTAGAATTTACCATAATCACATCCTTAGTTAAAATATGCCCGAGGAATGCCACCGACTCTAGCTAAAATTCATGCTTCAAGAACTTGGTAAAAAGCTAATTTTTCGAC